ATGATAAATAAATACTTTACATTTCAGATAATATATTGTTTTATTTTATTTTATTTTTCGGATCTCGGAATCACCTGATTCAGTTCACAAAACTGGGGTTGAATGATTCATTCATGAATCTCCAGTTCAGCTGCTCTGTTACGGATCCGTTTCTTACACAAAGCAATCATATGGCATTACAAAGACGTATAGACCACTTTTATGAAAGCCGTTCAGGTTTATAACGACATGAGGGTGAGATATGATGACAGAAATCTCCTTAAAGCTTCATATTAACCCAGTTTCCAGTCTTTTATTCCCTCTGTGAGGCTGCAATTAGGTCAAGACTGAACTGTCATTACTATTTATTGCAATGAAGGCTGTCGTTTGGGTAACGAGCGTAACTATATCACGTTATACTGCACCCAGAGGAATGCATACAGACACCGTGGCTCTTCACATCGCTGTCTTCATTAGATGTTCTGCTTGTGATTGGCCAGTAGGATGTAATTAACCCGAATGACTCGAATCAGATGCTTGTGGAGAGCATTAATGAACAGCACTTGATGTCTTTCTCTGAAGAAGTCAGATGTTATTAGGAGCATATTTGCATTGAATGAATGTTTCCCAGAAGCTTTTATAATGTACTTCGGTGCTCGGTTTCACAGCACGAAAAAGTTCAGTTTGCACTTAATACGAGTTAAAGGAAAAGGTCAAATCCTTTTGAGTAAGTGCACTCTCTATTGTAGGAAATTTAAGGTTCAAAGAAAAGAAAATGTGCGTTCACTGCTGAATCACTGATGAATATTTTCTGCTGGTTAATAATTAAAACATTTCATTGCAAATAACTAGGGGGAATTAGACGCTGCTCTAAAAAGTGTGTCTCAGAGGCCATAGGCTGCGTAAACGTGTGAGGAACGAGATAAAGTCGATTAAATTCAGGCTGTAAATGTGAAGAGTGAAGCTGAAAAACTGTGATCACAGGAGGGAAGCTTAACCAGGTCACACTGTTAGAGCTTCATCTGTCCAAGCTAATAATTAACCAGCAGAAACGCAGGCGGAGGATGACGAGTCGCCGCTCTGTCAGGAGAAGACACAGTAAAAATGAATGAAATCAGAGAAGTGGAGCAGAAATGTGCATGTTAGGCCACCCTGATCTCACCAAAATGAGGTAATCGCATGAAAACATCTGACGTTTCACCCCAAAACCAAGAGATTATTATTTTTTTCTCATTTAACTTAATATTATTTCATTCGATTATTTTTCATATATATATTTTTTATTTTATTTCATTTTATTTTATTTAAATGACAATTAAACATTTCCTTCATGATTATCATAACTGTAATGGGTCTAGCAGTTTTTATTTTTTTAGATAAATTTTATTATTAATATTATTATATATTTATGTTATGTTTTATGTTGTTATGTTATTATTCTTAATAGTGATTTTCATTACTGAAAATATCGAATTACAGTTTAAGTCAATATGAATTAAGATACAAGAAATAATACCATGATAAATAAATACTTTACAATTCAGATAATAAATTTTCTGTTCTATTCTATTCTATTCTATTCTATTCTGCAGGACAATTAAAAATTTTCCTCCTGGTCAACAATGTTGTATTGAGCCTAGAAGTTTTACTTTGTAATTATTATTATTATTTGTAATTTCCATTATTCTCTATTGTGAATTCCATAAAATTTTCATTAATGAAAATGTAGAATTACATTTGAAATTGATATGAATTAATGTACAACAAATAATACCATGATAAATAAATACTTTACAATTCAGATAATAAATTGTCTTTATTTTCTATTCTATTCTATTCTATTCTATTCTATTCTTTAAATGACAATTAAACATTTCCTTCATGATTATCATAACTGTAATGGGTCTAGCAGTTTTTATTTTTTTAGATAAATTTTATTATTAATATTATTATATATTTATGTTATGTTTTATGTTGTTATGTTATTATTCTTAATAGTGATTTTCATTACTGAAAATATCGAATTACAGTTTAAGTCAATATGAATTAAGATACAAGAAATAATACCATGATAAATAAATACTTTACAATTCAGATAATAAATTTTCTGTTCTATTCTATTCTATTCTATTCTATTCTGCAGGACAATTAAAAATTTTCCTCCTGGTCAACAATGTTGTATTGAGCCTAGAAGTTTTACTTTGTAATTATTATTATTATTTGTAATTTCCATTATTCTCTATTGTGAATTCCATAAAATTTTCATTAATGAAAATGTAGAATTACATTTGAAATTGATATGAATTAATGTACAACAAATAATACCATGATAAATAAATACTTTACAATTCAGATAATAAATTGTCTTTATTTTCTATTCTATTCTATTCTATTCTATTCTATTCTATTCTATTCTGCAGGACAATTAAACAATTTCCTCCTGATCAACAATGTTGTATTGAGCCTAGAAGTTTTACTTTGTAATTATTATTATTATTATTATTTGTAATTTCCATTATTCTCTATAGTGAATTCCATTCGATTTTCATTAATTAAATTTGAAATTGATATTAATTAATGTACAACAAATAATACCATGATAAATAAATACTTTACAATTCAGATAATATATTGTCATTTTTATTAATTATATAACTTTTTTTTAAATTGTATTACTTTTCTTTGTTACAGTAAAAAGAATGTTTTGAATTACATCAATGAGATTATTGGCACAATGCATGCAAACGAACTGAAAACAGGTTCTAAAATAGGCTTTGTTTAGCCAAATAAAATGTATTCATTTGATTTTTTTGGGATTAAATGTGAATGAAACATGTTCTTGACAGGTTTGGTCACAAAATAACTTGATGAAGGTCATACTGTAATTATTTATTAATTGACAGAGATTATTAAAAGAGAGAGTTAAGACTATTATCTGATTAGATAAGCCACAAATTCCATATTAATGTGTATTTCTTGGTTCATGGTGAATAGATTCAATAAGATGTTTAAATAGGTTCTAATATACAGGTCATCTGGTGTGGATTAAATTGCATAAAAGCAACGCAATGTATTTCAACGCATATTCTGATTCCCTGTTCGTCAAAGCGTCTGACGTCCCTAAAGTCAATCCGTTTCGCACTCAAACACAAGTAACAATCAGTCTGTCCCGTTACACAGTGACCCGCCAAGTGACGACGTCTCTCGCGCTCCTGAAGGCTAATCGTCAGACTCAATGGGAAATGTTTTATGCATGTTGCCTTTCTGTGTCAGCGCTCCAGACACAATTCAGATCTGAAGTGTGTGAAGTTGTGGAGGATGGCATGTAATAATCTGAAACTCACGCTGAGCTCCATAACGCGTCTCTGTGCTGTTCACATTAAAATCAGATTCACAATCAAGCCAGAAGTGGCAGAGCTTTTGAAAGCCAGTCTTCAAGGATGTGAAAAGAAGCTCTGATGAAAGGAGATTGCTTTAAAGTGCAGTTTGACAGAGTGAAAGCAGCTGACGTGCTGTGCGTCATGGAGATTTTTACACATACAGTATCTTCCTTCCAGCCGTTCAGTTTTGTTCCTCTAAAGGAGATTTGGTTATGGGTGTATCTTCCAAACTATGATTCTGAATTGCCTTCGTAGCAAAAGACTCTTATTTTTTTGTTCATTCAATTTCAGATCACTTTTTAAAATTATTTATTTAAAAAAAAAAGTGATGAAAAGTGGCAGTAAAGACATTTATAATGTTACAAAAGATTTCTATTTCATTTAAACGTTGCTCGTTTGAAATTTCTATTCATAAAAGAATCCTGAAAAATAAAATGTATCACGGTTTCCACAAAAATATTCAGAAGCACAACTGTTTTCAACATTGATAATAATCAGAAATGTTTCTTGAGCAGCAAATCAGCATATTAGAATGATTTCTATATCAATTCAATATTCAATATATTCACAGAGAAAACAGTAGTTTGAAATTAGATTTAGAAATTTAGATTTAGAATTTTCTGTTTATAGTGCGTGTATATATATATAGTTTTTATTCATTTTTTATTTCAATTTTAAAATAAATACATCATATTAATAAATTAAATAATAAATATAAAATAAAAATGAATGCATAAACAAATAAATAAAACATAAAAAATGTAAAAACCTTTGAAGCAGTTTTATGACCTTCCAAATGATTAAATTGAAAATTAAAATTAAATTATATTTAATATATTTAAACATGAAAATGTCTGGACTGTTATTCAAAAGGTTGTGGTTCAAACCCTGCAGTGCTTTGTTTTTCCTTTACCTCTACTGTAAGTTTTCTGCAAATTGCATATTCATAATTACAGTAATTCTTATCTCTTGTATTGAATATTTCTCATGTTATTTTCTTATGACCATAAGGTACAGATAATTACATCTAAAATGACTTTGACTTGCTTCCTTTGCATCTTTCTTGCTCAAAAAGCCTTTCTGTCAGGTGTTTGTGGTCGTATTACATTATGACTGCAGTTACTGCGCTGACGTACAAATGGTTTTCAATTATGTTTTTTATCAAAAGGTGTTTTGGTGAACAGAAGGGAGGAGAATTCAGCAATATGAGCAGTAATTGATTGTATTTTATGCTCAACATTAGTAGAATCAGGTCAGGGGTGAGACTGAGACACAAATACGCTTCAGTAACCGGCCATTTTATTACTTACATATTCAGATACAGCCAGTGCTTTTAAAACTTGATTGTGAACAGTAAGTTGGATAAACTTTGATACAGTGTAATGTGTATGAATCATTATTTGTTTGAATTTGTCGATTGGGTTATTTACATGCCTGTGAGTCAAATGCACATTACCTTTACTACTACTAAGTTTCTTAAAATAGTTTGACTGCTGTTTCGTAAGAAACTTGTATGTATTGCAAGTTATGTGGCATTATCTAATAAAATATGCACTAATTTGCATACATTTCCAGAGCATAAATCTGAACAACATTCGGATTATGGATAGGAATAAAAGATGTTCTGTGTTTGTCTCTTAGGAACGCCAGTCCCGTCGGAGTGATCCTGACCGCAGTGGTCGGCTTGTCCTATAAAGTAGCTATTGCATATGAAGGGTAAGTGTGTTATCTGTGTCAGGTTTCAGTCATAATCCATATACTGTGTCATGACTGATTATGAAATAGGTGGATTTACCTTTCCTTATTCTCTAATATTTTTATGATATATATTTCTATTATATTTTTATACTATTTTTTGTCAATTCTTTAGTAATTCTTTTGAATGACTTCTTCTTCAAAAAACTCAACCAGTGTAGACCACACTTAAACGATCAAGAACCATGCAAAAATTATATATCTTAATTTTACAATATTCTTCTTTATTATTATGGTTGTTTTTAATGAGTATAGTTTTTTGTTTAATTTTTTTTTTATATTTGTTTGTTTGAAAGCTAAAGTTCTAAAAAAACAAAAATTTTAAATCAAGAAAAAATACAAATAATTATAAATTAAAAATATATAAATTAAATCAATAAATATAAATGTATAAATAAAAATGACCCCTTTAAAAAACTATTAACAATAATAATAATAGCAACAATTAACAACTTTTCTGTTTCTGTTTCCTATTTAATTATAGCTTAGATTCAATAAATTGTTTTGTTTTTTATTTAAGAGTTTAAATTGTACATTATCTCTTTTTTTTCTTTTTTACCTTCAAAACCAGTGTCTTTGCAAAGCCTGAATTACATTTTGACATCAGAAAGTTATGCGAGTGTGTAAGGAGACATTTATGCAGCTTATTTTCAGTACATGTTTTATGGTATGTTTTTTTGTTTAAAGCTATAGATTATTTCAACGATTTTTAAAAATATAGAAAAATTATAAATAGTTATGAAATAATATATTATATAATAATTTGGTCTCCTTACTTCTTGATGTAAAATATCTTATATTGGTTAAATCAATTAACCATAGTAAATAATACATTAAATTCCATAAATTAAAATTTCATAAAAGTATATCTAGGAGTTTATGGGATTTTAATTGTGAAAAGTTAAAACGGTGCTATTGAAACAAAATGACATAAAAAGCATGGGTTTGATGCACACCCATGTTCTTGTTTCTTTTTACTTCTGAGACACAAGCGACTGTCTGAGACGCGCTAAAAGTGATGCAAGTAAAGGTCAGTCCTCT